TGTTTCGTTTCCAACTTAATTATTATTCACGAGGTTTAAAAACAGAATTTATACACCATACGTGCGTGATGCTATAACATTGTTTTGTCCGAACTATTCGATACATTATAATACGTATTACACTTTAACCGTTAAATGGAATTACGATATCGTTCCCAATGAGTCAAACATTTTTCGCTTCAATGTATATTTCAATGACAACCGATTGATGATTTTTGTGTATAGAGAGTAAGGAGGGTGAGAAGGTAGCGTCTAATAAATTTCGATGGCATGGAACGGTTAAGTGATTGGTTGGTCTCCATGGTTGCAGCAACACTTTGTTGCTTGCCTTCGACCGTGGTTATTTTTGAAAAAAATATATAAGAGCAGTGTACCGCAGTATACGGTACTGCGTACACGCCAACAGGGTTGGAGCGATAAATAATTGGGTGCAGGGCAAAGAGGATTTGTAGTAAGGACGACAAACCTCGGTGGTGGTGGTGTCGAAGGAAGTGGTCGACGGTGGAGCAAGAGCAAGGCACAGAAACGGGAAGGAGTGAAGAGGAAGACGGTCGACGACAGCGTACACGATGGGCTAAATAAATCTGATCCGGACGGGGGAGAGTGGTATGCCGACGTGCGTGGGGTTGTTTGTTAAAATGTTTTGTCGACGGCCCCGAATGAGCGTATAAATCGGTGGCGGCGACGTAACGGATGGGTAGAAGGTTGCCGCGGCGAATGGGAGAGGAACACAATTTGTGGTCGGTCCGTTCCGGTTCCGGTGAAAAACAGAGAAAAAGATAAAGAGCGACGACAAGGATGACCGTATATAAGATATATATATATATATGGTAGGGCGCAAAGGTCATAATTCACAGTTGCCTCCACCATCATCGTCGCCAATCCTCCAGAAAAGGTTAACTACGCTTCGGCGACCATTCGTTTATTTATGGCACTTGTATATTGTACATAAATAAAAAGAAAAAATGTGTGAGAGAAAGAGAGCAACGAACGCGCAGCACATCGAATGACGTTCCGACCCGTAAAATAAACAGGAAATTTCCTTCTGGACGAATCGAGTACTTATCCATGTGCTTTTTGAAGCTTTTCGAAGGAAATTCTGAATATTCGATTTACTATCGTTATTATTTTTTTTTTAAACTGTTTGCCAATCATCATCGTACGTAACGGGTAAAGAGAGGATGGATCGGACTTGGACAAATTTTTTTTGTATCCTCGAGTGTGCAATTATATTCTACCCGTTTATATATATTAATAAGCATACATATATATCGTAAGATATTCAAACGAAAACGTTCTGGTCTTTTGGCGTGGTTGAAAGGTGCGTTTTTCCGACGTCGAGTGGGTTTGTGCTCGCAATCAGATAACACAAAATTATTATTATTATTATTATTACTATTATCATTATTATATTATGTGCCGGCGTGGTCGAGACGTTTTTGATTACTTTTTCAACTCCTCGCCGTTCGCGCGACGGTTCGGTGAGAACGGTTCTTAATCGTCTTATTTCGTTTTCAATTCAATACCAATACGCGCCGCTGTAATTGACGTCGACAAGTCCGTAAGGTTCGTTCGAAGACTTCAATACGCGTTATTAATAGGTATATAAAAACACAACCGCGATATCTAAACGCGCGAATTCCCGTCGCCGTCCAAGCCCGGGCTACAAGAGATATCGTTATAACGTCAGGTCGTTTTGTCCGTCGTAGGTACATTGTCACGATATGGCTGGTAACACACGCTACAAGTCATATCACGGATCGACGATAAATACTTGCCCGGCCGAACTTCATCCGATATAAGCAATAGTGGTAATAGTGATGATGCGAAACTGTTAGCGAACGTTATTGGCACGGGTTAATGTTGAGATCGAGAAAAAAATAAAAAAATAAAAGAAATCCGGGTTTCTATCAACGCTTTCGTTTATAACGATGCATTATCGCACGTGAGATCTCACGACTATGACTGTGATTTAACATTACTTCTGCACATTGTGGTTAGACAATAATAAAATATTAAACCGCCTACGAGATAAGTGCACAATAGTATTTTATTTCGCAACGAATAGGCGAGAGGAGATGAGATGTGATGTAGTTCGGCGTCGTTACTTTGCAACGGAAAAGTTAATCTTGGAAAATGAAATACGCTGTAATACGTATAAACTTTTCTGAGTTTCCTGTTCGTGAATATTGTTTTCGAAAAGAGAAAAATATAATTCGGTAATCGAATTTGCAGTCGCCCAGAATCAAAACCGTCGTATGAAAAGACTCTGGGAAAACATAAAAAGACAAAAATAAATAAATAAAATATAATTGTTCTAATTGAGTTGTAAAAAAATAAAATATTTATATGATATTTTTGTTCGTACAATCACATAATACAATAATTGTAAAAAATAAATATAAAATTAATTATTAAATTATTTAATTATGATTTATAATTGGTTAAAATGCATATAAAACATTTGTGTTTCAATCCGAAACATTTGACTAATATCGCATTGTTATATCTAATCAAAAAATTAAAACATGCACAACAATGCAGCAACGGTCGCGAACGCAATCGCTACAAAAATACTAGTTAACTAGATAAACTAGAAAAACTAGATAACTAGTTGAATATTTAAACACGATCGATCATTATTGCTCGTTCACATTTATAATATTATTATTATTATTGCTAGGAGATTTTATATACGCTTTTCTTGGATGGCCAATTAATCATTTTTGATTATTAATATATAACGTCCGGAAGCGCAGATAGGCAAAACTCCCGGCGTAGACTTAACAGCTATAAGTTACTTTTTAATTGTTACGTCTTAGACGTGGTCAATTCGAAGATAAATAATCGCCTGCGTGGATTTTTACTGTAGGCATAAATAATTATTTTTGTGCGTACATTTTTGTACGCGTTTAATTTATAGTCTTACATGATATAATAATGAACAAACTGTCAACTGTGTTTACTGAACGTTAAAATCCGTTGAACTTGTTTGACTTTTTCCAAGACACCAATTAGAATAAATCCACATTTTTAACGATTTGTTTTTTTTTTTTCAAATAAATTACATTAGGTTTCAAATACTAAAAAGTAGTTTTAATGTATTCGTAACTAATCCGTTATTTTAAGATAATGTGAAAATCGATTAATTTTTAAATTAATATTTATTTTAATAAAGTTCGTTGTATGATATATTATCAGCATCTTTATGTAAATTATATAGCGAGCGCTTATGGCTTATACTCATTGATCGTAAGAATATAATACAAAAAACACAATCAAATCATGAAACATATTACCTTACTGCAAATCATAGAGCCTAAACTCCAAAAATTATTTATAACAGTATAATACTTATCTGTATAATAAACTAATATAGACGTACTCAAATATACGAAAAATATTAATTATATAATTATAATGTAATATCGGTAATATACAGTAGTCGAGTTTGTAAAATATAAAAATTCTCAACTTCTAATGATATTAATATCACTTAATCACTTTTTTTTCTGCTTTGAAACATAATAAAAAAGACTCAATATTGACTGGGCTATAAGTCTGGTGAAATTGTCACTAAAATACGAGTAGCGTATTGTAGCTATTCGTACGCACTGCATAATTATCGTTTTCTGATTAAGATATTTTTAACTAAATTGGCAACATCGAACAAAACACAATTCAATTTCATAAAATATAAATCCAGGCAAAAGAAAAATAAAGTAGTACGAATTTGTGGTCGTGACCGACGACACGGAATTTAATAGTGTTTACAATTAAAACGAATTGTACTGGGGCAAATTGTGTTCGTTGAGTTTCGTTCAATGGTTCATGTGTAGAATATAGCGAAATGCTCAACGCCAACCGGGTACAATTTTCTCTCACGCGTCCGTCCACCTTAAGATATAGCTAATATCGCGTATACGCATACTATAAACTTAAATGTTTTTTAATAATCTAATTAAAAATTATTTAAATAATGTTATAATTTTTTTTTTAACAATAGCCAATACATGGTCATGTCTGCCAGGCCTTAAAATTATAATAATAATAATTATTTATTTAGGTCTGTGTTTGTGATTACCGTGATAATAATGATAATAACAGTAATCTCTATGATTGCTGTTTCTACGTTAATTTGATTGTTACCAGCGTAATTACAACATTTAAAATTACAAACTCAACCTGAATATATTACGATAATATTACGACATTATATTATTCGGTTAATATTTTCAAATGGCCGTATGCAAATCCACATTTGAAATGGGTTGGTTTCAATGAAATCGATAATACAATTAACGAGAGTGCCAAGAATATAATTTTCATATATGAACTACTGTAATTATTATAGACTCCATGCTCCTGGTTCCTTTAGAAATTCAAAACCAAAAATATGCCATTTTTTGTGTTGGTTTGTGCTTTTGATCTCGTCGTTTATGGTTAACCTGTTTCCAAGGTTTGGAAATCCAAGCTATCCGACTTTCAAAATATTTAATCTAGGTATCTAAATGGAAAATATTTCAATATATCACTTTCAGGAAAAAATGTAATTTATTACATAGGAATAACTTATTATACATCGTTATCATAAATATATCAAACATCATAACAAATATTAAAAATATCAATGACTATTCAATAAAAAAAAAAAAACATTAAATACACGTGTTCGTGCCAATTCCCCTGTCTAAATGCATGTTTGTATATTTGTTCGTGTCGATTCTTATCGCGCGATAAGATCGTGACTATGTGTGATTGTTGTAATGAATGTTACCATTTTCGTGCGATGCATAGAGGTGCGTTGCGTATCCGCAGCCATCGTCGGCGGCGGTGATAAGCCTCCGAGTGCGACCGGCCGGGTACGTAATCGCGCTGTTATCATCGCATGAAAATGTCATTATTCCACGTTTTCAAAAATTGTCGGTTATGTTTTTGTAAAAGTTAAAGTCATGCTCTCAGTGCCACAAGATTTATCAATTTCGAGTGTTTTTCAGTTTTATGTGGTGGCACTGAGGCTTTTTATCTTCATTGTGGTGTCCGGCGGCCAAAGCCTTCGTGGTAACTGTCGTCGGCACCGACTCTCTCTCGTTTCCGTGTCTTCGTGGTGTGCACACCGAAATTCATTTTTTGTTAGTTTACGTTAAATTCACGTTTTGTTACATTTTTACGTTTGTTGCTGTCTTCGTTGGTGAATGTGATTCGGTTGTCGCACGTACCAGACTGTGACATTTTTATTTTGTATAATTTTAAACACTGCAGTGTGCCGTCTAAGGCAATTGTCGTCATAGTTCTGGTGCGGTCGCGTCGGTATAAAATCCGCCACCAATTACAGTCATCTCATGTGAGTATTGGTCGACCATATTTGTTTCATTTGTGTTAAAGGCTGATGGGCCTAGCCGTCGTAGGCAGGTTATTATTATTTATATCGAGCGTTTGTATTGCCTCCACAGGCACATATTATATTTATTGTATTTATTTATATATTTCTATTTATTAATTTATTGTTGTGCCGCTGTAGGGCCAGCACTTGATTATATTTATTATTTTCCGTGCGCCATGTGGGCCACGTACATTATTTGAATTGTTTGTATTGCGTGCCGTGTGTGCCGCAGATAATTTATTTTTTTGATACTTTATTATTTATTATATTTATTTGATTATATATATTTAGTGTATTGTGCCAACCAGGCAACGTAGTACAATTTATTATTACAGTAATTATTAATAAATTAGAAACATTCAATTTATAATATTTAACCATTCTTTCTTTCTCATTGAATTTATATAATATTGTGTTCATACAGCAATTATTCCAATAGTACATTTTCTTTTTATACAGCTGTTAAGGCACCCTTATGCTTTATAGTATAAGATGTAACAAAACGTAAAGTCCGTATAGCTTTTTTATTTTGTTAACTTTTATTTATAAACATAATCATAATAATAATAATAATAAATAATAATGACAATAACAATTATTATTGTTTTACAATCAAGTGTACAATTAATATATATATATAATAATACTTGTTGTCGAGTTTACAAATCTTCACACGACATATATTTATATTACTCACTATGCCGCGATATTAGCGTTCGTACTAGGAGATTTACAAGAAGACCAACGTGTTAACCAAAGTATGCTACGCTGTCTTAGCAACGTAGCCTATGGTCGCGTCGAATGACTCCTAGTACTTACTAATACCCGGGTGAAGAGGAGAGGATAATTCGGTATCGCACACGGTTGATGGACGTGGAGGTCTGAGCAGCAACGTTGAGTAACGGCACACGACGTACTCTGGGCGGACACTGGACGGATGGTGGCTCGCAGTGCCGTGCCTAGCATAATCAGTGCCCGGGGCGTAGAATAATTTCTAGCATCCCCACCTCCTCTACCAAATATTTTTATACTTGTAAAAACATTAGGGAAGAGCCGGAGATAGAATCGTCAGATTTACCTTATTTTTCACATTAAACATTTTTGTCGACATGTAAATTGTACAAACACATCTAAAGATGATATATAAACAAGGAGAGAGCCTTTTTTGAATATATTTTGTGAATAATATTGACAGTTGCAATAGTATTAATAATTATTATACATTTTATTTGAACTCAGAAATTCACCAAATCTGTATAATATATAATATAATAGTTATAACTTATAAGTATGAAATAGTATAAACATGTTATTAAAATAGGTGATAATGTTTGAAGTAAACAGTATTTAAGTTAATATGTTAATCGAAATAAAAAATCGCATCACTGAGTAAATTATTTTTATTTAGGTTACAAGTATTAAAAATGTATATTATCTTAATTCTTAATTTAATATTATTAAACTTTTGAATGGATTTATAGTAAATAGTCTTAATAAAATACTATAACAATTAAGTTTTTAAAATATAATAAGTACTTGACTAGATTTTCATAAACTTATTTTTCGAGATTTGATCGATGCGAAATTTTCAATAACATCATCAAAATTGATAGTTTGTGTTATTTTATTTTCTATTGACAGTATAGCAAGATTCGATAATCTTTCTTGAGTCATGATTGAACGGAGATATGTTTTGATTAATTTAAGTTTACTGAATGATCTTTCCCCAGATGCAACAGTTACAGGAAAAGTAAGTAATAGTCTGTAAGCGAGAACTAAATTTGGATACACTGAGCTTAGTTCATATGTTTTTATGCCATTTAATATGTCTAAATAAGTTGCCATTTTTAAATTAGGTATAATCGCTTCTCCTTGATACTTAAAACATTCAATTTCATCCAGTAATTCACTATTAAGGTCTGAACTATATTTTAAAACCAGATCAGCAGCGTGTTTTTTAAGATCTTCAATCGACAACGTATTAAGATGGAACCCAGAAAGAAATTCAAAATCGTTAGCAATGTTCGACAATGCTTCAAAACGCCAAGGTATTTGTGAAATTAGTGTCCATAACTTGGTTGTACTCCAATTTAAGTTTCTGTTGTATAGTAAATGTTGAATCAGATGCTTGTGACAATGGTGCCAACATGGCTGGAAAAATTAAAGGTGTCCAATCTGGATTACAGGGAATAAGAATTGTTCACTATTCATTTTCTTAATTTTTTTTGGCCTTTTAGATTTAAATATTGTTGAAATTTCAGTTTCATTTCATACATTATTTGCTAAAATATTTATATTTTCTGATCCCTCATTTCGCATTTCTTCCAAAGCATTTTTTAAGCCCATCACAATTTTTGATGCATTAGAAATAGAAATATTTGATTTTTGCAAGGTAATATTAACTCTATATACTTGATTTAAAATTGAGTCCCACATAACCAAAAGATAAACAAACTCAACATTAATTAAACCAAGTAGACTTTGAGCACCGGAGACTCCATCCCCAAATTCCGAATTTTCAGATATGTGTTGTAATGCTTTTATAACATATTTCAACTGAGTAAGTAATGAATGTACAGCATTATACTTCGATTCCCAACGTGTATCACTATGAGATTTCAATGTACATTTTAAAAACTGAGATACTATGTTCCAACAAGCAGTCGAACTAGAAAAAAAATTAAATATACTTTGTACTGTTCCGAAAAAAGTTACCATTCTGACTGAAACTCGAGATGCATGGACTCCAACCAAATTTAAACTATGCGCAGTACAAGGACAAAATTGTGCATGTTTATTTATTTCCTGTAATCGAGATTGGACACCTTTAATTTTTCCAGCCATGTTGGCACCATTGTCATAACCTTAACCGCGACAATTTTTAAATTCTAATCCATCTTCGGAAAGTTTTTTTAAAATTTCTTCAGCTAACCCTTGGCCTGTTTTTTTAGTTGTAGTTATAAAATCGATAAAACTTTCCTCAATTGTATATTTATCATTGGATTCAACTACATAACGAACAATTTGAGTCGTTTGTTCTTTATGTGAAATGTCGGGCGTTGAATCAAAAATTATAGAATAATATTTAGCTTCTTTGATATTAGAAATTATTTTTTCTCTGACAGAATCACCAAGTAAGCAAATGAACTCATTTTGAACTTTGTTAGATAAATAAGTAGTTCTTTTATTGGAATTTGATAAATGTTGCGCAATAATAGGGTTGTAACTACTTATTAGTTCAATCAAGTTTAAAAAAATGCCACAGTTAGACTTAGTAATATCATTACTGGAACCTCTAAGAGCCAAATTATTAACACTACAAAAACGGACACAATCAAGGATAATTTTTAAAATTTGTTTCCACCTTTCTTTTTCATTTAAAATTTCTTTTTGTAATTCTTTATCTATTGTTTTTCCTTCTCTTAAACGTTTTTCAAAACTTTTCCATGTAAAGACATTAGATTTATGATCAAATGTATTTTCGTGGTCAGGAATTCTCGGACTAAGTTTTCTTCAATCATTAAATCCGGTTTTAGGGTCTGTAATAAATGCCTTACTCATTTTTTGTGAAGAAAATAGCATACAGGGAAAACAATAAATGGATTTTGTAACCTTTTTGACCTAAAATGAAAAAACAGTTTCCTCTTTTCGCCTAAAAATAATTGTATTCTTTTCGCAAATGGTTTCACGTTTTACATTTTGGAAACCACTGTCTCAAAATTAATAATTTTTAAAAAAATCATATAATAATCAAATAAAAAAATAGAAAAATATATAATTATTAATAATAATTTAATAAGTGTTAAAAATAAGTATTTAAAATAGTGTTATCGATGTAAAATAACTAATAAGTAATTTAATCAGGTTACTACTTAAATGAATAGTTTGTTTTGTTGTTGTAAAATAATACAAATATTCATATTAATTATGACTTTTAAGTAATTATAACGTTTATTAAAGTGTTTTAAACTATATATTTCGATAGAAGAGTCGGCACCTTTATACACTTTTCTCGACTGACTCTATTAATAACAATCAAAAACGTGATTTTATCGAATATCAAATATGATTTTTTAAAAATTATTAATTTTGAGAAAGTGGTTTCCAAAATTTAAAACGTGAAACCATGGGCGAAAAGAATACAATTATTTTTGGGCGAAAAGAGGAAACTGTTTTTTCATTTTTGGTCGAAAAGAGGACGTGGGCAAAAAGAGGAAGGTCATTTTTGGGTGAAAAGAATTCCGCCCAAAATTGCAGATAAATATGTTAAAATTAAAATTACATATTAAAATCATATCAAATCATATTGATTTCCTGTCATAATCTCTGAGTAAGTTTTAATAGTTTTATATCCTTCATTTTTTTCTAAGACATATTTTAATTTATCTTTAACTATTTTTCCATTGGGATCGGAAATATTTATAGAAATATTTATACTAAATAATTTTATTTAGTTAGTATTTGTTTAGTATTTATACTGAATATGTTTAAACTATTAAGTAATTGACTAATTAATTTTTCTAAACTTAATTGTTCGTGTCTCTACAGTTGTATGATACATAATGGCATCCATATTCATACACTTGGGTGGTTGTATGAAATTAATAAGATCCCTAAGGGAGAATTGCTTATCAAACAGATTTATTTTAGTAGGGACATATTTTAAAACGATGGATAAACCAAACTGAATTTTGTTTTGTCCTCATTGAACTGGCTCAACTAATAATTAGATACTGGAAATATATTTTGGTTTTACAGAAGAAGCATATAGAATACACTTCTTATTCTCTTCAAATGTAATTTTCAGAACATCGCGCATATAGTGAGTACTTTCTGTCGGTAAATTTGCTGTTAAAAAGTTATATACGATTTTTTTTGGTAATGGCTAAATAAAAAATATTCTTTAACTTCTGTAAACGAAGGAAATTAATCAAATAACTTTTGATACATGCAATGAGCCGTACATGAAGAATCTATTATAATAAGGACATCTACCATTTTATTGAATTGTTTTTATTCTAAAATAATAGTCTTTAAAATTTATTCTCTTTTTTATAGGCTTGTGAATTTATGTCATATCTAATTGCATTAATAACCAGTTAGGTATTAAGCCTTTCGACATAAATATCACTATCAACATATGAGCTATACATTATTTGAACTATGTTGTCAAATGTGTATGTATTTGTATCGCTATACAATTTATTATTGATTTCAATACTTTTTAGATCTCATATACTTCCATTTATTAGAAGACCAATCTTTCTGCTTTTGGTATTGCCTCTTATCGTTTGAGTATAATTTAATTGGATTCTTGTCCAGGTACGTCCCATTTCTTTTTATATTACTGACTTGATACCCCAATCCTTTCCAATTCTCAAGTGCAGGAAAATCATCATTCGATGTGTCTACATAGATTTTTTTTTCCTGATAAATATTTTGATCTTATTGTTTTATTTTTATTTCCTTTTGACGTGTTTTTGTTTAGAATCTAAACTTTAGACCATCAAATTCAAATGTTGGCTAAACTTTGTTTTCGTCATTCTTAATTATATCTATTGAAGTCCTGGTACTATTTGTTTCTTCATTACATGATGACTTTTTATATTGAACTGTTTGTTTACGTGCTAAAATATTCAACGAGCCAAGCATGGAGTTGATATGTACTTTTAAAAATTCGTCAAGTCTAAGTGGTAATAGCTTACGTTTAAACATAATGGTTTTCAAATCCTTGAATAAACTTTGTGAAGTACGGCTAGTTTCAATTAAGTTTCCATACTTGAAAATTGGAATCATTTGACCAACATGGTATCAATTTACAAAAATCTAATAATCGTTTTTTTATTGTTGAACAAAACTGTATGTTATCGCAATCCTGTGATGTTATATTCGTCATTTGAATTTTCAATACAGAAGTCATATATTTGATTTCTTTGAAATTAGTGTTATCTATATCATTTATTGTTACAGACTCTTTTTCTTGTAAATTTGTATTGTCTTTGAAACCGTTAGTATCCATAATTGTCTGATCACAGTTGCATGAGTAACAATCCGTTATTTTAAATACATTTTTATTATTTCACAATGACCGTACAAGCAGTTTTTAGTATGATCGCAGTAAATATATAATTTTTCGGTTTAAGCCGCGCATACACTAGACTCAAACCGGCTGAACCGAAGAATTTTCGGTCCGAATTTTTTCGGGTGTAGCTACATTGATTGTTCCCGAATTTTCGTACAGAACTAAAATAAATTAATAGCTAAATAGATGATTAAATAATCGTATTGTGTCGTGACTCTTGATAATAACTACAATAAACCACATATTGTATTTTTTACGACCATTTTCGACAGTTGACGAATGCAGTGCATGGTGTGCAGTTGTACTTACTAGTAATATTTTATAAAAATAAAAAAATATGGAATATAATAGTTCTTCAGATGATGAATGGGATTCATTTTTATTATAGAGCCCCATCTTTAAATCGCGGAAAAGATATTGAGTGCATAAACTTTGGCAACAACGGATGATAGCGGTGAATTTCAAAATATGTACACTGTTTTAAAAAATTACCCATTCAAATTTTATAACTACTTTCGTATGGATATATCAAGAGCATCTACCTATATATAGAATAGTACCACTAATTTTTGGCCGAAAAATTCAATCATATTTGAACGGTTGAAATCTGAACTGACTCGAATTTCGATTCGGGCTATCGGTTCAGTACAAATGTATGTATTCACATATAAAATCGGAATTTTGATTTTATTCGGTTCGGCCGGTTCGGGTCTAGTGTATGGTGCGGCTTTACTGTGCAAACACAAACATATCTGAAAATAACACGTCTGCACAACGGTGCTCGAGCGTAGTGTACAATAATATATTCGTTTTCATTTTTTTCTTTTATATTCCGCACCCCCGTCCACTGGCTGGCTAAAGCATTCGCATTCGTAGTCGTCGTCGTGAACGTTATTGCAACGCGATAAACGGGCGCAAATGTTTCGGATCGCGACGGGAATGTCACGCGAAATCGATGAGATGCCG